CCCCCCAATCCCGACCCGCAGCCCCCTGCTAGCCCAGCCCTGGGCTCCTATACACAGCTCTGCCAGTGCCCCATACCCAACCCCTGCCTGGCTGCACTCTGGCACTAAGCTCCCTGCCCTGCTGCTTATCTTTATCACCCTCTGCATCTCCCCCAAGTCTTTCCCACGACCTGCCCAGCAGGAGCCCTGCACTGCCCTGCCCAGGTGCGAAGCATGGGGCTGTGGCGTCCAGGCCGACGTGTACCCAGGGAGAGGGAACCTACGCCCAGGCCTCCGGATCCCTCCCTCTCACTCGCCTGGCACTTTCCCACCACACCCTGCTTGGCACAGCTCACCCAGGGAGAGCCCAGCCCTGGCACTGCCATCTCTGGGCACTGGCCCTGGCCTTGCCCTGTTTCCTGGCCCTTGGCTGCTCCTGGGGGCCCGGCCCAGTCCAGCCAGCACGTGGGGATGGAGCTGGGGGAGGGGCTCTGGAGATGGTCTGAGTGGGGTCAGGGGAGTGTGAAATCCTCAGAGCTGCCAGGGGGCGCAGCCTGTGGGAGCTGGATATTGGAGACCTCGGCTGTCATGGGAGCTGAGTGTATGGTCCCCCGGGCACACACGCACCAAGGCCAGGGAGATGCCGGGTGGCCCGTGGTTACGGCACGAGGCTGGGATTCTGGGGACCCCACGTCGATCCCCTGCTCTGCCACTGATACCCTGTCTGACCATGGCCACATCCCTTAGCCCCCCCCCCCACCTGTTCCCGGGGGTGAGACTCTGGCCCTGCCCCATGGGTGGGGACTGCCAGCTGCTGTGGATTGGCAGTGCTGAGGGCCAGCCACAGTCAGTACCTGGGAGTGGAAGGGGTGGCAAAACGGGGGCTCCTCGGCCGGGAGGGGTTAGCAGGCTGTGCTAGTCTCTGGGGCCAGCCCAGGGGAGATCTGAGCAGCCCCCCTGGCCCTACCACTTGGCTCTCCCGCCCTCGGGGGCCCTGCAGATGGGGCTGCGCCTTTCAGCCACCAGGCCCCTGAGCCGAGGGGATGGGACTGGACTCTCGCCTGAGAGGGGCAGCGTCATGTGGCCAGGTGCCAGGAGTGCCCAAGGGCCAGGCTCCCCACAGCACTGGGGGGGTGAGCCCCTGGCGTGGGGCATGCTGCTGACCGTCCTGTGTGTTCTCTCTCCACAGGCTGTACCTGGGAAACCCCATGGACCCTCCCGACGTGCTAGGCGTGGACCTGAACGCAGCAAGACCCACCCAGCTCCCGAGCCGGGCGAAAAGTAAGCCACGTTGCCATCCTGCTGCGGGGCGCTGCCGAGGCAGGCATGCCTGCAGCCCATGCCACATGGCCTGCAACAGTCCTGGACCTCAAACTACGAGTCCCAGCATGCAATGCTCCTTGGGACCCTGGCGCCTGCCATCCCCAGCACTTGCCTGCTGGGACCTATAGTCTCCACTGGCCTCTCATTCCCCTTAGGGGAGGGCAGCTGCAATGGGATGCCAGGTGGCCCTGGCTGGGCTCCCAGGCCACGTTGTGCCAGGAGGAGAGCGTGGGTGCAGGGACGAGCATGCCCAGCGAAGTGGGCGTGTCGCTCCTGCCAGCCTTAGACCTTCCGCCCTTCTGTCAAGGCAGCCTTTCCCCGGCGCTCGACCGGCTCCATGGTTCCACTGCGGCTGCTTCGCGGAGCTGGTCGAGTGCCAGCCCCCAGCCCTGGCCGGCGGCAGAGCACCTCCCGCCGCACGGCCACCCCAGATCTCCTGTACTTCCAGCAGGACCCAGGCCTCTGCTTCCTGTCCTAAACTGTCGAGCGGCTTTGCAGAGCCCAGCTGCCACCCTGGAGCGGGCTGCTCCTTCCTGTGGTGTTCAGGTGGTGCTGGAGCCCTAAGGATCCCAGGAGGGAGGCCCTACGCACACACCTGCCATGTCGGGCTTGTTCTGTGACGGGCTTCAAATGCTTGGGCACCCTTGAAAATTTGCCTGAGTTTTGGGTGCCCAGCTGGAGACCGCTTGGCCCTGACTCTCTGCAGTGCCCCATGCCCGCCGCTCCCAGTGACCCAGCCCAGCTGGCTCCAGTGGAGCATCCAAACTCAGGGGCCACATCGGAGAAACCCAGCGTTAGCTGTTCCAGCCGGATCCCCGGCCAGGCTGTGCTGCTGCTACCTGCTCCGTTACTGATCCAGCTGCCTCCCTGCTTCCTCTGGCTTCTCTGCCTCTGCCAGCTAACCCCTCCTCTCTCCTCTGGGGTCTCTCTCTTCTCCTGCAGGGGATCCACCGCCTCGGCCACCGCAGCCGGCGATCCTCCTTACGAGTAAGTCGGGCCGTTCTCTGCTCCTCTCCTCTCTCTTCTCTCCTCACTCCTCTCTGCCAGGTATGGGGGCGTGCGGGGCGCTTCCTGGCCTGGGAGCTGCTGGCTCCCGGCACCGAGACGCCAGTGCCAACGGCGCATAGACACAGACATGCACACGCCCTGTGTGAGCAGCAGCGAGGGCACTTAGAGCGCGGGCAGTGCCAGCTTCCCCGCATGGCCCTGCTCAGGGTGCTCCAGCCCTGCTCCCCTCTAGGGGGCAGAGGTGAGTCCACACTCCCTGCCCCATTTGGTCTCTCGGCTGAGCTGGCCGGCCGCGGCAGAGACTGGTGGATTCCCCGGTCTCTCCCACCACCAGACACACCCGACTGGCACACGCACCTGGGCTCTCCGTGGGACCAGCCCTCGGCTCAGTGACTCAGGCCCCTCTCTGCTTCCAACCTGTTGGCGACTCAGAACGCCCCCTGCCCCGTGGCTCTCACTGGCCTGGACTCTGCTGCATGTACTAACCTCTGGGCTGGGCGGGAGGCAGGTAGAGCAGGCGGGAGGCCGCTGGGCGGGCAAGGTCTGCGGTGAGAGCTGGCACCTCCAGGGGTGTGCCCCCGAGGAGCAGAGTCCAGTGCATGGGGTGTTGGATGCATGCAGTGAGCTCCGACCCCAGACCTAGACCTCTAGGGCAAAGCTCGGGGACACCTGGTCCAGGCAAAGCTTAAACAGAGAGACTGGGGAGGGCAAGGTAGGGGGTGAATACATGGTGGTCCTAGGTTCAGATCCTGCGTGGGTCAGGAGTGAACATTGCATTTCGGTGGCCTCCCTTCCTAAGCCCCAGTGGCTGCTTCTCAGTTTCACACGCCTGTCATCCGGGAAGCCTGTGCTCGGGAAAGTGATCAGGAGCAGTCAACGTGGATTCACCACGGGCAAGTCATGCCTGACCAGCCTGATTGCCTTCTATGATGAGATAACTGTCTCTGTGGATATGGGGAAAGCGGTGGATGTGATATATCTTGACTTTAGCAAAGCTTTTGATACGGTCTCCCACAGTATTCTTGCCAGCAAATTTAAAAAGTATGGATTGGATGAATAGACTATGAGGTGGATAGAAAGCTGGCTAGATTGTCGGGCTCAATGGCGAGTGATCAACGGCTCGATGTCTAGTTGGCAGCCGGTATCAAGCAGAGTGCCCCAAGGGTCAGTTTTGTTCAACATCTTCATTAATGATCTGGATGATGGGATAGATTGCACCCTCAGCAAGTTTGCAGATGACACTAAGCTGGGAGGAGAGGTAGATATGCTGGAGGGTAGGGATAGGGTCCAGAGTGACCTAGACAAATTGGAGGATTGGGCCAAAAGAAATCTGATGAGGTTCAACAAGGACAGGTGCAGAGTCCTGCACTTAGGACGGAAGAATCCCATGCACTGCTACAGGCTGGGGACCGACTGGCTAAGCAGCAGTGCTGCAGAAAAGGACCTGGGGGTTACAGTGGGCGAGAAGCTGGATATGAGTCAGCAGTGTGCCCTCGTTGCCAAGAAGGCCAACGGCATATTGGGCTGCATTAGTAGGAGCATTGCCAGCAGATCAAGGGAAGTGATTATTCCCCTCTATTCGGCACTGGTGAGGCCGCATCTGGAGTATTAGTTTTGGTCCCCCCCACTACAGAAGGGATGTGGACAAATTGGGGAGAGTCCAGCGGAGGGCAACGAAAATGATTAGGGGGCTGGGGCACATGACTTATGAGGAGAGGCTGAGGGAACTGGGGTTATTTAGTCTGCAGAAGAGAAGAATGAGGGGGGATTTGATAGCAGCCTTCAACTATCTGAACGGGGGGTTCCAAAGAGGATGGAGCTTGGCTGTTCAGTGGTGGCAGATGACAGAACAAGGAGCAATGGTCTCAAGTTGCAGTGGGTGAGGTCTAGGTTGGATATTAGGAAACACTATTTCACTAGGAGGGTGGTGAAGCACTGGAATGGGTTACCTAGGGAGGTGGTGGAATCTCCTTCCTTGGAGGTTTTTAAGGTCAGGCTTGACAAAGCCCTGGCTGGGATGATTTAGTTGGAGATTGGTCCTGCCTTGAGCAGGGGGTTGGACTAGATGACCTCCTGAGGTCTCTTCTAACCCCAATCTTCTATGATTCTGTGATTCTAAGCCTGTGCTCAGGAGGGGCTCAGGGCTGGGCTAGCAGGGGCTGTGGGTCCGGACTGAGGGGCGCTGGCGGAGCTGGGTTTGGGGAGCCCACGGCAGGGATGGCAGGAGGCTGCGGGTCAGGACTTTCAGCCCCTCACAGGCACATGCTGAACTGCCCTGTATTTGCCCCAAAAGCCCCACGCCGGGGGCAGCACCGTCTCCTCCCGCAGTATGGATCCAGCTGGGGAGGGGCCCGGAGTTCTGCGCCCCGCGTCCCACCGGGGCTCCAGGCTGGGCGCGGTACTGCCTGGGGAAGGGGCCCTCAGCAGGGCCTGTTCCCATGCCAGGCAGGTGCGGGAGTCACCCCGTCGGTGCCTGGCCCATGGGCGCCCTGCGGTGCTGAGATCTCCCCCTCCCTGTGTTCCAGAGCCCTCCTACGACCCCGTCAGCGAGGACGACTCCCTCTCCACGGGCCTCAAGCGGCTGTGCCTGAGGAAGCCGGGCCCCCCGAAGGGGCTGAAGTTGGTGAAGCCGTCGGCCTGGGTGTCAGGCACCAAGGTGGGCGAGCGGCAACTGAGCCGGGCCAAGGGTGGGGGTCCCTCCTGTGGCGAGGCGCCACTGATTGACTTTGGGGACGAGCCGCCCCCCGCCACCCCCTCGCCGGTCGGTGAGCTGAGCGCCCCCTCCCTTGCCAGGCTGGCTATGGAGGCTTTCTCCCTGCTGGACAAGACCCCCCCCCAGAGCCCCACGCGGGCACTGCCCCGGCCCCTCCACCCCACCCCTGTGGTGGACTGGGACGCTCGGCCCCTGCCCCCGCCACCGGCCTACGACGACGTGGCGCAGGACGAGGCCGACTTCGAGGTGTGCTCCATAAACAGCGTGGAGGGGCTGGTGGGGCGGCTGGCCTGGGACGAGGACGAGAAGGCGGTGCCGCTGGAGGACAACCTCTTCCTGCCGCCCCACGGGGCCAAGCAGCCCAGCCTGGCGCAGACCACCGAGATCTTCCAGGAGCTGCAGCAGGAGTGCATGAAGCGGCTGCACGTGCCCCGGAGCCCCGCGCCCGGCCCCGGCGAGGACAAGCCGCAGATCCCGCCCCGCGTGCCCATCCCGCCCCGGCCCCTGCGGAGGAACGAGCCCGGGCGCTGGTCGGGGGAGCTGTCCCCGGCCTCAGGGGGCGAGGAGGACCGGCCACCCCAGATCCCGCCCCGTGACCCCTTATCCCAGCCCACCTCCAGGACTCCCAGCCCCATGGCTCTGCAGGTGGGCTCCCCGCAGCAAAGGGCCAGCCTCTGCTCCCCCTTGGCCCTGGCCACCTCCCTCTCCACCTCCCCGGGCAAGGCCATGCCCACCACGCAGAGCTTCGCCTCGGACCCCAAGTACGCCACGCCCAAGGTCATCCTAGCGCAGGACAAGGACAGCGCCAGGGGCCCCTGCATCCTGCCCATTGTCAAGGACGGCCGGAAAGTGAGCAACACCCACTACTACCTGCTGCCCGAGCCCCCGGCCTACCTGCACAAGTACGAGAAGTTCTTCAAGGAAGCCCGGAGCCCTGAGGAGCCGGCGCCCCGCGTGGTCAGCACCGCCACCGTCCGCCCCATGGTGCAGCAGCCCAACTGCTCGGCCAACAACAGCAACCCCGGCCCCCGGGGGGCGCTCAGGGCCTCCTGCAGCGTCCAGAACATCATCTACGACAGCAGCGGCGACGGCTGCCGGGCCGCCGAGAAAGTGCGACTGGTGAGTGGCTCCTCGCGGGGCGATTGGCGAAGGGGGCTGGGCCAGCCAGTGTAGGGGTGGGGCCAGCTCGACGGCAGGGCCTTGCCCCCAGCTGCATGGGGAGCTGCCGCAGCGCTGCACCAGCTCTAGTGTGAGACGAGGCCGTCCCTGCCCAGCAGGGTTCGCAGCTGGGGGAGATCCCAGGGGCCAGGGCTGTGCCTCACCTGGGGCGCATCCCAGCCCTTTGCCGTGCCTCAGTTTCCCTACTCTCCCCAGGCCCCTCTCCTAGAGGCAGCAGGCGAATGAATTGGGTGCGAGTGGACCGAGCCCCTCGGGGGGGGAACCCCGCGCAGCTTCCCCGCAGCATGGTGCACCGGGTGGGTGCCTGGCTGTGGGGCAGCGTGGGGTGAGATGCCTGTGCCCTACCCACTCAGTGGGCTGCAGGCTCCAGCCCTTTTGCCAGCGCTAATGTCAGAGCCAGCCTGCCCCGCTCCTGTGCGCTGTGCCCGGCACCGGACTCTCTGGGACTGATCCTGCTTGGTTGGACCCGCGTGACTCCCTTGCCACCCGCGCGCCCATGCCACTTGTGTGCACTGGTGGGGCAGACACCGAGCCCTACCCCGGCACGCCGGGCCCGACAGTCACGTCAAGGGCACCCGTGGGCTCAGCTCTGCCTGGCTGCCCTCCGATGCCAGGGCTGGCTGCGCGGCTGCCTCTGCCCAGCGAAGCGCAGTCACTAGCAAGTAGCATCCGGGGCACGGGGAGGTCACCCTGCCTGGGAGCAGCTGGTGTGATGGCATTGACACTGCAGGTCCCTGGCCCCACAGGGCACCAGCCCCAGGGCTGCCCCGAGCACCGAGAGAGAGGGCGCTACTGCCTATCTCCCCCTCTCTGCACCTCGTTTCCCCGTTTGTGCCCCGGAGGTATGAGGGGGGAGCCGTCCGTGGTCAGCAGCCGTTCGGCCGAAGAGCAGGAGATCTGCACCAGCGCCGGACGGCATGTTGGGGAGCAGACTGCCGGGGCCAGGGGTGGGACAACTCGGGCGCTTCCCTCCCCAAGCCCTGCGGCTCGCGGGGGGGGAGGAGTGACCCCCTTTCCCCTGCTGGAGCCCCAAAGCCAGGCCCTGTCTCTGGCGAGTGCCACTGCAACCGTCTGGAGCGGGGCCCAGTCCTCTGACCTTGAAGGCCTGGGGCGCCACCTGCTGTCCCAGCGTGAGATTACAGCCTCTCGCTGCTGGGCCCCACAGAGCAGCCTGCCCAGCAGGGCGGGGGGAGATCTGGGGGGAGCCACAGGCTGCAGGGGATGTTCTGCTAGAAAGGGGGCATCCAGCAGCCATTGCAGGTGCCGGGGCTCAGGACTCCTGGGTTCTCTTCCTAACACTGTCACCATGGACAAGTCACTGTCTCTCCTGCCCCCGTGTGCCTCAGTTTCCCCATCTGTAAGTGGGGCTGATGTGAAGCTGCCTCCCAGCGGGGGCGTGAGGGTGGCTGATGGTCCCAAACGGTGAAAGTCGCTCCCTGACGCCGAGCTGCGTTGCCACCACTGCTGAGGCCCAGACACCCCCTTACTGACGCCCGTAACGTGGCCTTTGGGTGCTGCTGAAATGCCTGGGGAGCCCAGAGGCGGCTTCTCCAGCCACGTCCCTGCACTGGCCCTATGAAACCAGCCCCTTCCAGCCAGTGCCACCAGAGCCCTTGGCCCCTGTGCAGAGGGGAATGAGCTGCCCAAGGACAGCCTGCCCACTCGCCCGCCCGGAGTCCTGCCCCCGCCCTGCCCTCGGCGTGCTGCTCGCAGGCTGTTCAGTGGGGCCCAGCAGAGCTCCCAGCTCCCCACCACTCAATGGCCTGCGAGCCCTCGGCTACCTTCCAGCCCCCTGGCAGTGCCAGCCTGTCCGGACCGAGCGCTCACGGGGTGCGTCTCCACAGGTGCAGGAGATGGTGCACGGCGTGACCACCGAGGAGTGCCAGGCTGCCCTGCAGAACCACGGCTGGAACGTTCAGCGTGCCATCCAGTATCTGAAGGTACCGGGCAGGGGCCGGGAGGCTCTGGGACCCCCTCTTCCTCTACTCCGCAGGCCGTGTCCCGAGCAGTGCACCACTGTCCTCTGGCCCGGGCTGGCACCGCAGCAGCCGGTGCCCTGCCTGCAGGGACGGGCCTTGGGTTTTGGGGGGGCGGCAGGACCTGAGCCCTGGCTTGTGTGACTGCACCGAGCCTGGAGCGCCACCTGCTGGGGGTGGCCTGATCCCTTGGGGGGCGGGGCGCTCAATGCCAGAGGGCCCAGGAGCAGAGCTGGGCATGTGCGCCCTCCCATCTGACCCGGGTACAGTCAGCACAGCCCTGTGCCACTGCCCCCACACTGGCACCGTGTCTGCCTATCATCCCATTGGGGTGATGAAGAACCACGGGGGAGCCCACCCCGCCCCACTCTACACATGGGCCAGGCTAGCACAGCTCCTGGGGGATGGCGGGATTCTGCGTGGACATCGTCCCTACCCCTCCCGCTGCCCGGGGCGCCCCCCACTCACCCTCTGTGCCCTGTGGTTTGCAGGTGGAGCAGCTTTTCTGCCTGGGCCTGAAGACCAGGGGGGAGTGCCACAGGGTCCTGGAGATGTTCGACTGGAACCTGGAGCAGGCCAGCTGCCACCTGCTGGACCCCGCCAGCGCCGCCAGGCAGAAGTACGCCGCCCCCTTTCCCCAGTCCCTCCCCTGCGCTGGCGCGGCAACCCCAAGGGGTTCGCAGCCTCAGCACAAGCTCTCGGGGATCCCCCTTTTGTAACCCGACAGCTGGGCCCCTCGGGGGGCACCACAAGAGCCTCTGCCCGCCCGGGCGGGCCAGGCTCCATCCCGTGGCTGCTTGGTGTCGCCCGGCAGGACGGACGCCACTCTTGGAATCGGCACCAGGCGGGCAGCTGTGGCCACGGAGCCTGACCCCCATCCCTGGCAGGGCATGGGCAGAGCTGGTCTGGAGAGATGGGGGAATGGACCCATCTGTGTTTCCCCAGGGGGCGGGGCCCAGCAGGGAAGGAGCAGGGGCTCAGGGCCAGGCTTTGCCCCAGCGGGAGCCCCTCCCTGGGAGCTGTGTGGGGCCCCCAGCACATGCTCCAGCCGATGGCAGAGCGGCTGCCCCAGGGGCCCATGCAGCCGGGACTGGGTGGGCCAGAGCAGAGCCTGCTGCCCAGCATGGCTAGGGGAGGAAGGGCATGTTCCAGCCCAGGGAGGGACTGGCCGGGCAGCCAGTGGGGCTCAGCCCCAGAGAGCCTGATGCCGTGGGGCACCCCTGTGGGCACAGAGGGCCCGCTGTGTCTCAGGATTGGGCCCCCAGCTCACCTGCTCCCCTTGTCCCACAGGCGGTGACGGCAACAGGCCGGGAAGCTGAGACAGACCTGGAGCGGGCACCTCCTGCCCCACCTCCGCGGTGCCTGCCCCCCACGTTGGATTGAGCTGGCCGGAGAGCCAGGAGCAGGGCTGAGAGCCTGACCGGGGCTCGGGACTGGCAAGGGGCAGCCCCCGGGACCCCGCTGGGGGTTGCCCCGGAGCTCGCTGAAGAATTGTTTTGTAAAGAGAAATGTAATTTTAATATATATATATAAATGTTCTATTGGAGAGGAACCCGGTGCCGCCCTGGCTGTGTGCTGCACCCCACCTGCCCCTGGGCCTTGGCTAGCAAAGGGGGCTCAGGAGCGGCCTCCCCTGGCCCCCCACTCCGGTGCCAGGGGGCCCAGAGGAAGAGAGCAGCACTCAGCTTGGACCTGGCTCTTCTCTCCCGAGCTCCATGAAAGGGATGGAGCCATCACCCAGGCCCGGCATTCAGCCTGGTCCTGCCCGGCCCTGGAGTGGCTGGCAGAGTGGGCGAGGAACCCGGGCTCACTCCATTGGCAGGGCCGGGCGAGGGCAGACACTGGCTCAGCAAGCACCAGCCACACCTCTGCCCTCCACTTGCTTGGCAACCCCGGGGATTGGGGTGGGGGGAGAGCCCTAGGGCACAGAGCTCACTGTGGGGCCAAAGCCACCCCCCATCAGCCCCATGGGGAGTCCTGTCCCAGCCCAGCTGTGTGTGCCCCCCGCATTCCTCCTCAAGGCTGCTTCGCTCCCGCCCCATATTAGCGGCCTCGTCCGTCACACCGCTGGGACAGTGCCCAGGGGCACCCTAGGGGGGCAAAGGGATGGGAGCAGAGCCCACGGGCACTGTGTGAGAGGCAGAGAGGTGGGGACAGTTCCTGCAGGCGCAAGGATGGGGGGGCAGAGGGATTGGAGGCAGTGCCCATGGGCCCTGCTTGGGAGGCAGAGAGATGGGGGGGCTGCACCTGTGAGCACAGGGATGGGCACAGTGCCTGTGGGCACGGTCTGGGAGGCAAAGAGCTGGGGCAGGCCCACAGACACATGGGGCCAGTGCCCATGGACACAAGGCCAGAGGGCTGGGTCAACGCTCACAGGCATGGTTGGGAGCAGTGCCAAAGGACACAGGAATGGGGGGGGATGTCCATGGGCACAGGGATGGGGGATGCCCTTTGCCTGTGGAGGAAGCTAGTGCAGGTGAGGCCAAGGGCCGGGGGGGGGCCACGGGCCTGGGGCAGAGTTTGTGACTCGCTTTGACACGCGGCGAAGGGCCCAAGCTGAGCGTCGCCCACCAGCACCTGCTGCCGCCCCTTGAATGGGCCTCATCAGTTCCACACACACACACCCCGCCTTGCCAACGGGCTGCTCTAGTGAGCAGCGCAGGGTCCCGGCAACGCAGGGTTCTAGTCCCCATTCTGTCTCGGACCTGCTGGGTGACCTTGAGCAGGTCCCGGCCTCGCAATGTGCCTCAGTTTCCCCTCCCGCAGCATGCAGTGAGGGCACTGGTGTGTCCCAGCTCATCCATGTCTGTGAAGTGCATTGTGGGCCTGTGCCCTTAAGCCCCCCCAGTACAGCTCACACCCCTGATCTGCTAGGCCCCAGGCTGTGTGCCACGCCCTGGTTGGATCCCGGGCCCAGGCGAATGGGCAGGGATGGCCGGGGTGGGAACGGACGTCACACCACAGGTGAGTCCTCACAGCAGGGCTGGCTTAGCACCAGGGCCCCAGACTGCCCAGGGGTCTGTGCCCCCCTCCCCAGGGCGGCCTTTGGGGAGCTGGGGCTGGGGAAGGTGTAGCGGCCATGGGATGGCTTGGGGGGGGGGGGGCTGTGGCAGCAGAGGCGGGTTAAGGTTTCCTGGGCCAGAGCAAATGGGGGACCCCTCCCCACCCCTTCTGCCTGCAGACACCCCCCACTTTCTGCCCCTTCCCTGGGCTCTGCCCCTGTTCCACCCAGGCCCCCCCCATTCCCTCCCAAGACCAGAGAAGCTCTGTCCCCCCATATGTCCCACAAGGCTTCAGTGGGGAGCCAGAGCACCTCCAGTCCTGGGGCTGCGGGAGGGGTCCAGGTGCTGGGGCTTCCCCCGCCACCCCCCGCGCTTCTGCGAGTGACCAGGGTCCGGGAGCTGGGGCTTCTTCCACCCTGCAGCTTCCCCCACCCCGCCCTCCTGCCTAGCCACTGGGGTAGCCATGGACCCTGGCTAATCCGCCACTGTGTGGCAGCCTCTTGCCCAGCTGTAAGGATTGGACCCTCCCTGCTCACGTGCCCCTCCCCGCCCCCCCATGCCAGGCAAACTGTCGCCTCTGTGCTACAAAGCCCTGATTTGGGGCCCAGCCCCCTGAGGTGCTGCCGGGACCGCCCGGCGCCGTGGTATTCCTTGAGGGGCCTGCCGCTAGGTTTGGGATGGGCCTGGGGGCACCTCCTGAGTCTTGACCCCATTGGGCCCAAAGAGCACGAGTCTATTGGCCTTGAGGGCCTGGTGTGAGGCCCAGCTGGTCGGCCAGGGCTCCAGCAGTTCGTTCCCATGAGCCACACGTCACGGCTAAGGAGCCCATGGCGCTGCCGGCTGGGACGGGTGCCTGAGAGGCGCTGAACACACTCGGTTGGTGTTTATGTTACGCACGTGTCCCGTGGCGCCAGCTGAGCTCAGGGCCCCGTTGCACCAGGAGCTGCAGGAACACGAGAGCGCCAGACAGCTCAGCGTCGCCATGGCCAAGCCCGCCAGTGCAGACCTGGGCTAAGCCCCTGTCAGGGCTTGGGGAGGGCGGCCATGGGGCTGGCTACTGCTCCGTGACTGTCAGCCATGCTTGGGACGGGGGGGTGGGTGCGTTTACATTAATTTTCATCTAGAAATGAAGTAGAACTGAATTGCCCTCACACCTTGGCCCGCCCGCACCTTTTTAATCGACTAATTCCACGTGTGGGTGTTTCCTGCTCCCCGCTGCTCTTTGTGCAGCTCCTGCGGACACTTGCTAACGTGCAGCTGCCTTTTCCCACCCGCCCGTGGTTTTTGGGTGCCCTAGGGGCCCGTTCGCTGCCGGGCAGTGGGGCTCAGCGCTCTGACCCAGGGCCCAGTCACCCCCGGGCGCTCCGCCACTAGCCAGCACAGAGGCCGAGTGCACAGGGAGGGGGTATTTCTGTGGCTAATGGGAACGGCCACAGCTGTGGTAGAGAGACTCAGGTTTCCTTTCTAGACGGCTCCCAGCCCTTCCATTTCAGCACACAAGCCAACTAGCAGAAACTGCCCCCAGAGGGGCCGCTTGCCCCATAACTTCTTGCCCCGTCCATTGGAGCTGGCCAGAGACAGGACGCTGGACGCCATGGGGCCTTGGTGGGTTCAGGTCTGGAAGTTCCTAACGGCCCAGTGGCTGGATGCTGGTTTCCCTGGATTGGAGGCACTACAGAGGAGCATCCTGCCCAGCCTCTGTTACTGAGCTCTTGAATGGCCCAGTGCAGGCCTTGTAAGCCCCCGCGATGCCATGGTGATAGGCAAAAACTAGCCGTCTAGGCTTGTAGCAACACTACGAGCAGCGAGCGAGCGAGCGGGCTGTGGGCCCAGGGAGGGAAACCAGCTTGTGCAGAGGGCCGGTGCCACTTGCGGCCTGTTCATGACTGTTTTGGAGGCCGTACTCGTCTGTGGGATTCCGGTGTGCCCTACACGGAGTGGAAAATGTCCCCCCATAGGGGTAGGGTCCGTGTGGGATGAGGAGGGGGCTAGCACCGGCCCTGCCCAAGGTGTGCGTCCAAAGAGGCGTCTTTGGCGTAGTCGCTCGGGGCTGTTACACTTACAAGCGTATTCGACGGCTCGTCACGTTTGTAACGTGTCTGTCTATGGAATCTAGGGCTTAATTCGTTTTTTTCTTTCAAGAACATAAAATGAAACTTCAGAATGAGGCTCCCAGCCAGCAAATTGTCCCAGCCCTGAAAGCAAAACTGGGGGAGGTATGAAGTGCTGCTGAAGTGAGGGCGTATTTGCTTTGCAAAGCCAGCGGCACAAAGGGAACACGGAGTTCCCTCACCTACAGGTGAGTCAACGCAGCCCGTCAAAAAGCCGGCGCCCTGGTCTGGCCATGAGCGTAGGGGTGGGCGTCGGGACTCCTCGATTCCCAGGCCAGAAGGGACCGGTACAATCACCTCCTCAGAGCTGCATCATCCAGGCCAGAGGCTTCCACCCTGCGATTCCTGCATCCAGCCCCTCATTTCTGATGGAGCGAGAGCACAGCTCTTAGAAAGAGACATCCAGTCTTGCTGTCTAGTGCTGGCGGCTCCGCCATGTTCCTAGGGGAGCTGTGGCAAAGGTTCATTAGCCCCGTTGTTAAAATTCTGCGCCTTATACCTGCCCACTTTGGACTCACCTGCCTTCCCTGGCCTCCAACTGGCCTTTGTTCTACCTCTGGCTGGTGTGTTAAGATTCAAGCAGCTGAGTTTTCTGGGGCACTTGTTCATCTAGTGGATGAAATTCACCCAGGCCCAGATGTCCCACCCACAACCCCCGCACGGACGGCCTCAGAACAGGGCTGAAGGAGGACTTACCGGGTGCCATTCGCCAGGCATATGCACCACTCCTGGGTGGTGGATTAGTAGAGGGAACCAGCTTATTGTGTGTGTCTGCCCGGGAACCCAACTCCCGGCTTCTGCTCAGCCCGGCCGGGAGCAGAAACGTGCCACGTGCCAGAGTTATTGCCTGTCAAATGCTCACGACAACCCGCTCTCCAGCCGCCTGATGTCACCAGCACTAGCCACATGAGCCTGCCAGGCAGGAGCAGCCCTTTTGTCCAAGGTTAAGTGGCTAGAAGGGTTTTGTCCCCTCCTGGTTCCTTCCCTTCCACTCACAGCTCCCTCCTTTTGCAGCCAGCAGCTTGCCTCTTGCCCCTCCTATCACTCCCTTTGAAACACCGTTCAGTGATGATCTACCACACAGAAAAGCATTCTACAGCACACGAGTGGCCTCCCCCTGTAGCATGTTCCCCATCCATGGGCATGGGCCGGGTGATCCCCTATGCTGGGGCTTAAATACCACAATGGTAGGCGTTCCGGCAACCGCCAGATCGGACTGCGTGTGCCAAGCACGCTGCTGGCACACAGTCACTGATGCGAATACTCTTCCAAGTCTTTATTTGCAAACAGGAATTGCTCTTTGGGTAACACGGACGCCCTCTTACAAAAACCCGCCGGATTTTCCTCCCAAGCGTCCCACCAGCTCTGCGAATCAGGAACACTTCAGCCCTACCATCCGCGGAGGAGATCTCAGATCACATTAGAAATTCTTTACCGGT